ATAGATTCACACCATGGATTTTGAGTAGAATGAATTCCTAAGAAAATGTTAAAGCCATAGTAATATATGGTAAATTCTTCAAAGCCACTGGAATAAAGGCAGTTTTCCCTAGACCTTATTTGTTTCTCCCATTGGTAGTGCATAAGCGAGCTGTACTCGGCAATTTTGGTCAAGTATCCCGAAGAGATCTTATACAGGTAAAGCAATAGCTTGGAAAAAGGTGCATGCAGATCCTGGTTAAGATTCACTCTTGTTTGTTCTGTGTGAGCTGTTTCTCTATTGGTAATATACATTTCCAGAAAATAGTGAAGTGTTTAGTTTGAGGGTGTCTTTCTCTCATGACATTGAGAAGTATGATGTCCTCTGTATCCAGGAGCCAACTTTGCATGCTGAGTGTGGTGAGACTCGGCAGGCGTAGCACACACTAGCTCAGTGCCTTCACTGTGGTGGCCTGCACTTTGATACAGTGTGTAAAATACCTGGAGATGTCCAACTCTTGCAAAGCTGGCAGGTTGTCCAGTGCCTGGAAGAAAGTTCTGTATCCTTCTTCTGTGACCTTGTGATTGAGTGAAAGATTTAACTTCTCAAGCTTCTGGAAACCTCCACTGATGGCTGCCTGGGCTACCAAGATAAAACATTCGTGAGACCGAACTCTTGAGGACTCTGTTGGTAGACCCTTTTCCAACCACTACCACCGATCAAAGGGGGAAGTGCCCAGTACAATACATATTTGTTTGGTTTGGTTTTGGTTTTTTGTGGTAGTATTGGGCTCGAACCCAGGACCTTGTACCCTGAGCTTTTTGGCTCAGGCTGATGCTCTACTGCTTGAGCCACACCCAGCTTCCAGCTTTTTGATAGCTAATTGGAGACATCGTGTCATGGACTTCACTGTGATCCTCACATCTCAGCCTCTTCAGTAGGCAGGATTACAGACATGAGCCACTAGCACTTGGCTAATTTGTTGGTGGTGGTCGTGGGGCTTGAACTCTGGGCCTGGGCGCTGTCCCTCAACTCTTTAGCTCAAGGCTAGCGCTCCACTACTTGAGCCACAGCGCCACTTCCAGTTTTTCTGGGTTTAGAGTCTCATGGACTTTACTACCCAGGCTGGCTCTGAACCATGATCCTCAGATCTCAGCCTCCTGAGTATCTAGGATTACAGGCATAAGTCACCAGTGCCCGGCTCTGGCTAATTTTTTTTTCCTTCTGGGGCTTGAACTCTGGGACAGGGCACTGTCTGTGAGCTTTTGTGTTCCATCTCCAACTTTTGGTGATTATTGGAGATCAGAGATGAACTTTCCTGCCTAGGCTGGCTTCAAACAGTGATCATCAGGTCTCAGCCTTATGAGTAGCTAGGATTCCAAGTGTGAGCCACTGGTGCCCCACTGGTTATTTTCTTTGTCTCTCTCTCTCTCTCTTTGTCTCTGTCTCTGTCTCTCTCTCTCTCTTCTCTCTCCTCTCTCCCAGTTCTGGAGCTTAAACTCTGGGCCTGGGAGCTGTCCCTGAGCTCCTTTTGCTGAAAGCTAGCACTCTACCACTTTGAGCCACAGTACCACTTCTGGCTTTTTCTGTCATTAATTGGAGAGAAGCCTTGTAGACTTTCCTGCCCAGGCTGGCTTCAAACTGTGATTGTCAGATCTCAGCCTTCTGAGTTGCTAGGATTATAGGCAAGTGCCCTTCTGAGCATATTTCAAAAGCTTTCAGGAAGACAGCAAAGGCAGAGTATGCCTAAGAAGCAGGATGATTACAAAAGATTTCTCTTCTTATGGAGACTGGCATTCCAAAATACATGTCCTTAATCAGGAAGTGGAAACACCTTCCATGTTCATTGATAGGCAAAATTAATATTGTGAAAATGGCTAGACTGCCAAAAATGATCTACAAATCTAATGCAATCCCCATCAAAATCCCAGTGACATTCTTGACAGAGAAACAATACAAAAATTCATATGGAACAATAAACCTCGAATAGCCAAAGCAATTATAAGCAAAAAAAGCAATGCTGAGCAGGGTGCTGGTGGCTCACACCCGTAATCCTAGCTACTCAGGAGGCTGAGATCTTAGGATTGCTGTTCAAAGCCAGCCCGGGCAGGAAAGTCCATGAGACTTATCTCCAATAAATCACTCAAAACCAGAAGTGGAGCTGTGGTTCAAGTGGTAGAGTGCTGAAGAGCTGAGGGGTAG